CTTTTTAACACCATTAAAAATGAGTTTTTCAAGAAACTAATCAGCTGGAGAGTGAGCCTTATTAGTGCCAAAGATAATATCTGTGAGTACTTGGTGCCTACAGGCATTCTTTTGTCTACCTCAGAGTGCATTTTATTGCACCCAACAGTTGGAAATTTCTGGAGGAAGAAATCATTTACATCAAGGAAATGTTTTCCCCCACTAAAATATGGGAGATCCTAAACATGGACCTCCTGCATATTTAGTTTAATCCTTGGAAGACTTGGTTTCTTTCAAATGAGGTTCTGTAGTTCCGTATGAAGGCATTTAGAAAAGTACATTTCAAGCCATGTTTATATGAATTTATGGCATTTGTCTGGTCTTGTGCCTCTAGGGATTTAGTTCAGGAAGCTTGGGAAGAAGAGATTTGTTCTTTGGCACTGATGGAGTACCTCACAAATCTGCATGCGTCACTGACGGTGTTGCTGTTCGATTACTCATAATTTGGTGTCGGATGGCTGCATGGGCAACCTGCCTCTGCTGAAAAATGTGCCATTTGATGTAACATGGGCAAATATGGGCTTGCTGGTGTTTCTGGTGCTGCTTCACCTTTGCAAGCTAGTCACATATAATGGCTCTCTCCTAGTTTTGCCGCCGTTGAGGGGGTTCCTGCTCGGTTTCACAGTTCGCCAAGTGGGGCTTTACTGTATATAGTTGCCTCTTTATTTGGGACGTGCTTAAATGTACCAAGCCCAGCACAAAACCTATTTTTTTCCCTACAAAAACAACCCTGTGAGGTAAATTGGACTGAGAAGAATCACATAAAAAACAGGCCAAGCTTCAATCGCATCGTCGTGGTCTTGACTTGTTTTTTGAGCACGCCCATTGGCTTTCTGATGTTTGATGGCTGGATCCCAGTTGTTTGACCCAGAGCCTTGATGGAAGTGGGAATGACAGACATGCAAGAGCAACAGAGAATTTCAGTGGCAAAATCAGGGTGATGGGCAATATGAATATTCATTTTTAATGGTACTTCTATTCACTGTGGTTGTGGGTTCACTAAATCAGCAGCTTCTCAGTGATGTCTCCCAGGCGCTGGACTGGCAACCATTTGACTTTCCTGAAGGATGTTCCAGTTGAGCTTTGCATAGACCACAAGATTTGTTTGTTTTTTTGAGCTTCACTGTTTTCTTCTGCTTTGATTATTATTTGGTCCTTACTTGCTGCTCCTTGGTTCTGTCTCCTAGTAAGGCTCTGTCTTTACCCCCATCTTCCCCTCCCCCATGATTAGGTTATCTTTCTTTCCAGCACTTTGGAATTCGCTCCCCCAACTGGTTTATTTCGCTTCCTCACTGACACCTTTTAAGGAAAGCCTGAAGACCTATTTTCACATTTTAGCTTTTCCCCCATAGTAGAAACCATATTTCAGTTGATAACATTACCATCTTTGCTTCTTTTTCTGAAGATTATTTCTGTATTATTTTATTTATTTATGAGATTTGCTCCCACATCAAAATGGACCATAGGCATTTGCAGATACTAGTACTAAATAAGGCAAACATAGTAAAGCATACAAAAACACAGTAAATACAAAGGTTACTTTAAAGCATTAAAACTAATACCAGCACCAATGACTCAAGTCAATCTTCAAAAGTCTTCTAGAAGAACCAGGTTTTTCCAGCTTCTGGGAGGCCAAGGAGGTGGATGGTCCTCCAAGCTATTCCACAGGAGAGAAACTCCCACAGAGAGGTCCCACCATGAGGACCTCTTCTGTACTGGGCTGTGAGAATAACCTTGGGAGACAGGAGGGAGAACCACAGTCAGGGCAACAGTCAGACAAGAGATATCTCATCCCATAGAAGGAATGGGATGAAGGAAACATCTTAGAAGGGACCTTCCCTAGTTCTCTGGAAAATAAAGGGATTGATGTCAGACCTTCAAGGCAGTCCAGACAGGAAACCAATTCCATGAATTGTAAGGTTACAGTAGCAGAATCATACAAGTCTGAAAGCGCCTCTCCCCTCCCTTGCCTTTACTTTCCAAAGAACAAGAGAGGATGAATCATAATTATTTTATAAATGTCCTTGGGCCCAAATTATTATTCTTGTTAGATTTTTATCCTGCCTTTTATATATTTTGGTCAACTCAGGGCAGCAAACATACCTAATAGTCCTGCCTCCTCTTTTCCCCACAGCAACAACCCTGTGAGGTAGGTTGGGCTGAGAGAGAGGGACTGGCGCAAAGTCATCCAACCGGCTTTCAGGCCTAAGGTAGGACTAGAACTCACCACCTACTGGTTTCCAGTCCAGCACCTCAACACTACACCAAACTGGATCCATGACACCAAATGGATCCCATAGATCCATGCTTAAAATTACATAGATATTCCTGCATGGTGGTGGCTGGATCCCAGTACTTCTTTCTCCAGAAGAAGAGAGAAAGGTAAGCTGTGGGTTCTGGAGAGGGAAATTGGTGCGTGCTGTCTAATGGGCCCGGCCTCTACTAGGGTAGCCACTTTGTGAGCGGGTCCAAGACACGCTCTCAGAATGCCAGCTGAATACATGAGCCTTCAGAATTGCTCAGCTCTCAACTGAATGGTTATCTCTATTCAGGTTCCTTTCATTCTGAGTGCTCTGGTTTACACAGTCCTAGAAGTTTTAACTTTATTTAAGAAATCGATCAATCAATCAATCAATCAATCAATCAATCTAACCCTATTGAAGTTGGCCCTTACAGAATTGCACCATACATGCAACTCTATTTTTTTTTCTTCATCGAACTCATACAGGGAAACAGGCAACATATTTAAAAACAAACATCAAATTCAGTAGTATTTCCATATTACAAAATCATGTAGTTCATATGAACCAGAAGGGCCATTTTCATAATCTTAGGTTATTCTAATTGGGTTTCTTTGTTCCTGCCTGGATTGATGTGCCAACACTTATGTGACCAATTTTTCCTCTGATTTCACCCTAAAGGGTCTATATGCAGAGTTGCTATTATGGCCTCTCTCAGTTGAAATTTCCTACCCTCCCTCCCCTGCTTTCTTATCAGGAACGTAGGGATATTTCCTTCCTGAGAGGCTGCTGGAACAGGGCCCGGCTGAAGGAACCCTTCTGAGATGGACTTTGCCATTATCCTTTATAGCTTTTGAAATGCTTCACGTCCAGACTAACTCTGTGCTGTGTAGAAGATGAGAAGATGTGCACAAGTGTTCATTGCTGTGCATGAGCTTCCAAAAGCAGCGTCTTACCTTTCATAACCTTATATACTCCCAGTGTTCAGAAGCAGTGAGTCGCTGCTCAAATTACCTTTCTGGGGCTTGAAAATATGGGCACGCCGCAAGGCTGCAAACTGCGAGGAAAGTTCTTTGCATCTTTTTGTGTTGAAGCTACAATGGTGTAAAAGGGCACAGAGCTCCCTGTAAAAATGCTGCCTGCTTCTTTCCATCCCCTTAGAGCCTTGCGTGCGAAAGCAACTTTAAGCACAGATGTGACATTGGTAATCCCAGGGAGAAGCCCGCCGAAGACCTGGAGTAGGAGCTCTTCCCATCTGGCCCCGGGGATGAACAAAGAGGTAACTCTGCATAGATAGCTTGTGACAGTTGGTTAAAGTTTACTGTAGAGACATATTTGGCTGTTGTCCCATTGATGTTCAGTCAAAAGATTGAAAGGAATTGCCAGCAGATGAGAGAGAGAGAGAGAGAGAGAGGGGAGGAGGAGGGAGAGAGGGCCAAATTCCTACAATTTTCAAGGGCAGTGGATCATTTTCTGCCCTGTCTCAATAATGCCTGGCTTCCAGATGATTTCCATCAGAAGACAGTAGCTTAGGTTGTCTACACCGCCTCCCTTGGATTCTCTCCATCAACCCTTCCAGTGGGGTTATTTTTCTGTAAGATCTCTCTGGCAACCAGGTTGCACTAGAGTTAACAGTCGTGTTGGTTGCCCCATGTTTGAAGGCTCTCTGAAAACAGTCCTTTCTAATCAATGACTCCCTCCACTAATAAGTCAAAAAGGGCAGCCTTGAGAAGGGGCAGCAGCCAGCCTCCAAAACAGGACTAAATGGCTGGGCTGAGTTGCCATGTATATTGCTCCACTGTACAGAGGAGCTAATTTAAAACCTCAGCTAAGAGCCAGGGGCTGCCTTGATAACCCAGGCAAGCCTCAGCAACAGGCCCCTTATGGGCACTAGGACATGGCAGCAACTGTTTTATCCAAGTATTCCAAGTGCCAGTGCTAAACACACCATTGTGCATCAGTAGAGAGTAAGGAAGATGACCTTGATGTTATCTAGGCAAAGGAGGCTGAAGCATTCTTTAAATCCAGAAGAACGAGATAACATTTGGAAAAGGCTCAGGCAGACACTGAGTAGAAGAAGGGGGAAGAGGTACAGCACAATCAGACCTGCAAGATTCTGGTTTTCTAGCCAATCTCAATAAAAGTAGTTTTAGTCTTCCAGTGGGGTTGATTTCCTGGTCTGGTCTATCTAGTTAGACTGACATCATGTGAGTATTAAAAAAACTGTATTTCTCTGAGAATGCCAGAGAACTTGCCCAAAGAATATAGCTGCACTACAGATTTACAAATAGGTTTTGCATTATGATTGGCCACTGCACAGGGTTCACTAGAAGGGGGGAAATGTATGATAAACAGCTATATTTGAAAGTAGGAGGTAAGGAAAGTTCTTGGTTGCATTATTTGAACTTTTTAAAAGGGACACCTATCATTTCAAACCTTTATCTGATTTATAGTTACTTTATCTATCTCAGCTTCTCTCCAGAATTATGGGCATTACAATTTGAGGAGTGGTGAGTGCATTTTTTTTTTTTAATGATTCTGAACCTATTCTGTGTCATGGACTTTGGAGAATCAGAATTATAGGATTCTGTAAGTTGCAGTTTTAAATTTGTAGCACAGGAGAAGATAATCACCTCAATCCAGTTTAGATTGGTTTTGGCCTCAAAGCACAGAAAGAGTCAAACGTCCTACTTTTTTAAAAAAATAGTTCATTTTTGTTTATTCAAAGGTAAAAATAAATATAGCACCAAATGGACTTGATCCATTTTGATTACAGAAACGACTTCGGTACAACCATTTCAAAATACAGAAAACCTTACTTCATTTGGGAAGATAAATGTTCTTTCTTTCTGACAGCTTCTGATAACAACATTTCTATATTTATAAATTATAAGCTAGAAAAATATAAATATGTTGAGAAATGCATTAAATATTAAAAATTAGCATGGCAATAATAACAGTAATAAGGAACCTAGATGCATAATTAATTGTTCCATTCCCAAAGTTCTAAATATGGTACATCCACTTTGTCTTCCCAGCAGTGGAGGTATTCTGATTACAGCTATGGATATAAATCATAGAAATTCTTTTCATTCAAAACCCTGAGTTCAGGAAACCACACTCTTATTTCCTTTTAGCAGTTTGTGTTATCCTTGTGGTGGAGATTTGAAATGGAGTTTGGCTTGTGTCTAGGGTCTTTTTCATACCCTAAGCAGATGGAGACTGGGAAATGGTCTGGATGAAGGAATCATTTTGAACTGTCTACATCCCAGAATTGCAGAGGGGATCTCTCTGGAGCTGACCTTGCTCAGCAACATGGGTCTTCTCCCTCTTCTTGTCTTTTCAAGCTGACATCAAGAATTCCAACGGGTGGGCTGCCAGATTCTATACAGTGAAGCTCTGAAGCTCCAGTTGCGCACTGAAAGGGAGCGTAAGTCAATGGTTTTTCCTTGTCTTGTCCCGTTTTAACGACTCAGAAACTGCAAATTGATCTCCTTCTCTGGCACAAGCAGGGTCCGCGTCATGGGGTTTACTATTTGCCCCTCCTGTTCGGGTGTCACTTCAAAATGCATCAGGATCTATTTTTTTTAAGGGAAAGAAAGAAACCTATTAGCATCCTATGAGACGAGGCTAACTTTAACTCAATAAGACAGTTCTTACTCCCAGTGTTGTCATCCCAATTTTTGGTATATAGTCTAACTCTTAGGGAAAAAAAAAGTGCATTCAGAACAGGGCAGTTGTAACAGGGCCAATCCAAAGGCATTGTGCAACTATTCCATTTTTTCCTCTTTGTGGTTTTTTTTGCAGAAAGAAGAAAACAAGTGGAATAATTGTTGGGAAACGTGGGAGATTTAAAAACGGAAGATGACGTTGTTTTGCCATTGTGCCCTCCCCCACCACACGCACATAAAATTCCACATTGGAAGCAGGCCACTTGCAGAGCAAGAGCTTATCTGGAAATAATTATAATAATAATCATATAGACCATACCCTGGACAGTGCTAGATATACTTCAAGCTCTGCAATGCGTCGGCCAATGCAACTGCGCTTGCCAAAGCCGAATGGAATGGAGGCATAGGGGTGATGTGAACCATTCTTCTGCAGCCATCGCTCAGGCTGGAAGGAGTTGGGGTCGGAGAAGTACTTCTCATCTCGAGAGGTAGCATAATGGCAGAGGGTTATCAGGGTCTAAGGAAAAGAGGAAGACAAGAAGGGGCCATCATGAGAAAAGCAATCCAGAAACCCATGTTCAGAATGTCTACATGTTTCATTGCTCTACATCCACTTCCCTGTCCTTCTTCAAGTGTTTTCTCAGTTCCCACTTCTTGATCCAAACCTTCATTGGACCCCTGTGTCTTCATTTTGCCCTTAAGACAGTATTTCCTTTAAGGAATCCTTTCCTTGAGTGCCAGTCTGATAAGAATTCCTGTATGCTTGTCCTGAAATGTCTATACATTTCAAGAGACTCGGGGACCCAGAATAACAGACCTGTTTTGGACCTCCCTGGTGTCCTGTAGTGAATAGTTGTATCTAATTTATTCTTTCTTCCCGTTTATTGTATATTCTAATTTTATTCCTCTTGGAAAGGACTTCACAGTTTCTGTGCTTCCCACAACACTTACAACATTATTAATTTTAAACATTAGTTGCACATCAGACACATAAGGAGAGTGCCAGTTGCACATCATAGGCAGCTGGTAACTACTATCCCAGATCAACATACGTGGTTGAGATCACGTTGTGTCTAGATTATCAGCCTTTTCTTGAGTAGGCCCATTGCTTCTAATAGTGGTGTCCAAATGATGCATGAATTGTTTGTGGCAATATACTGCAGACCAATGATTACTGTACTTTCTCTCCATTTCCATTTGTACCATCTCTGGCCTTTGCTCACCTTCTTAGGGATGATATAGTCTCCCACTAGGATGTCCCTGTCTGAGACGACACGCGCATTGCCAGGAATCACTGGGTACAACCTGCAAAGAGCAAGCCAAAGCAAACGTTAATTTAAAGGAATCACAGACTTCACTGCTTGCCCAGCTGTCCAGGACGGTGGATTCTCAGTGCAAAGCACAAAGACAGAAGTAAAGTAATCTAGCTAAGAAGCTAAACTCTTACAAGTATGGATGCATCCAGCCTCCATATGGATGCTCCACTGCAAACATCTAAGCAGGAAAGTTAAGCACCTACTGAGGCATGCACAAGAAAAGTGAAGAGTGTGAGCAGATTTCAAAATCCATGTTGGTACTCAAATGGATTTTCCCCCAGCAAATAAAGTCATGGACGATAAAACCTAGCATCAAAGACAGTATATCTCAGAATGCCAAAGGCAGACAAGAATAGAGGGCTGATCTTAAGTCTTATGATCAATGCAGTGGAATAGTAACAGGTGATCTTGAATTGCTACCATTCACCTTCTGCCCTGAGAAGCAGACTAGCAGGTTTCTGAGCAAGGAGAAACCTGATCCCCTGTTAAGGTCCCCCAAGCAAAACCAACATAGGATGTTCCTGTGCTTCCACCCTCCACGTACCAACTTCCCATCTGCTTCTGATACAAGACTCACCTCATGACCTCCTTCACCACTGCCTTCAGCAGAGGCATCTGAGCTACATCAGCTGCTGTGGGAATGAGGTTGTCCTGCATCACGGTGGTAATTTCCTTATGGAGGGCCGCTTGTGTCTGAGGGTGACGGGACAACTCATACAGACTCCAGGACAAGGTGCTCGAGATCTGCAAGGATACAGACAGAGATTCTGGATTCAGAATTAGCAGGGTAGAGAGTGATCCCTCCCTCAGACTGAGGTGTTGTTACAAAGTAGTAGGTACCGTTTCTGTGCTAGCTATCTAGGGCATTCTTCTTTCGTATAGCCAAAGAACAAAAACTAAGGCTGATGGAATCATGTCCTTCCATCAGATTATACCAGATCAAGAGTGGAGCAGTTAATACTGTTAGCTGCATTCTAATCAGAGCTGCAGAGTCCACGGTGCAGAAAATGATTTGCATGTACCTGCAAACTTTCTTAAAAGCGAAGACCCATCCACTTACAGTTTAAAGCCGCCTTCCTCAGATGCCTTGTGTATGTGCTAGACTACATCCCTCACTAACTGGAAATGATGGGAAATGTAATCTAACACATCTGGAGAGTTTCTGATTGGAGAAAGCTGCCCTCACTCTAAGCACTGACATAGGAAATAAATTCCAGGGTCAAGCAAAGTCCCAGAATACCTGCATCACTGTTTTCCTCTAAAGAACAGATACAGAAGGGGAGGGATATGGTCTTCCTGACTATTAATTCAAGAAAAAGTTATCAAGGCCTGCAGACCAGTTGACTCCACCATAAGAAGAAGAGATCATCCATCAAACCTCTCATCCCGAATATCTGTCCATTTTCCCCCATCCTATGGACCAATTTCAGCTCATGTTGGATTGCACATGGCTTCCATAGCTAAAGAGAAATAATGCTTGCAAGTATAGAAAATATTCTGCTCCAGAGCACCCTCAAACCCTTACCGTGTCCACACCGGCCAGCAGAAGCTCGGTCACATTTCCATAGATGGATTTCAAGGGAAGTTTTTCTTGTGCCAAATAGTAAGTCAGGTATTTTCCTTCAACTTTCTCCCCTTGGATGATTCTTTCTGAAATGTCAGCCATCCGCTTATCGATGTGTCCTTTGGCTGGAAAAGAAATGGGCAAAAGATTATTCCTTGTCTCTCTGTTGGAGCCATCCAACAACATATTCAATCACCCTTCAGAGACATATCAATCAAGTCTGAATTGCTTCTTGTTTCAAACCAGCTTCAGTATGATCCCAGGCAAACAGGAGAAAATCAACTTGTCCATAGGTCAGCCCTGGCTTCCTATAACATGTAAACATTAGACATCCGTGTGTTTTAGGTATTTACACACTATCCTTCAATCAAATGCTCAGGGTGTTGTTATCTAGACTCTGCATTCAGGAGAAATTCCTGAATAATCTGTCTCTTAGAAGCAAGGAGGAAGAGGACATTGTAACTATGGTCAAGCCACAGAAAGTGAAATGAATGTCTCATTTAGGAAGAAATAGCACATTTCTGGCCCTTATGAAACCATCCTTTAAAATAAATAATCATACATAGTGATGACAATATGGATAATCACATCAAGGCAGAAATCTTCCAAAATTAAAATGGGAAAATTATCCAGTGGTTTAAAGTTCTATTGCCTGAAAAAATGCAGCTTTACACCCAAGCTATTAATATGTATAAAATGTTGTAAGGTTGAGCTTTTATGAAGATCTCCACTAAAATATAGCCAGTGGTAAACAGTACAGATGGTTTGTTTGGGGGCTTTTCTGTTGTTGTTTCAATATTTAATAATGTAGACTTTAATACATTTTTCTATATAATTAGCAATGATATATTGGGTTGGTTGAAATATATCCCAAGAGGCCTATGGAATTAAGCAAGTATATTTTAAACTATTCCAGTCCCTAAACTATTTTAAATTATTTCAGTCCCTAAACGAGAAAAATTGCAACGTTTTTGCAGGAAGGGAGGAAAACCATTTAAACCAGTACAAAATACAACAATTAAATCTATTTATGCAAAGTCAACTGAGTGAGCCACAAAGTTTTGAAAAGATGCCACAACTTTCAACCTTTTGCAATCTGGCAGCAACACTCACCAAACTCAAACATATAGTCCCAAGATTCACAGAACTTCTGCCATGGCTTAGGAAAGATTTGGTGCAAAAACTTGGGCATTGCCATTGTAAGCAGGGTCATGACAAACATGGTATTGATGGAGCTAATGAATTTTTCTGTTTCTTCTGGAACTTTGGGTTCCAGGCAGCCAATGCGGGATTCAAAGAGGACTGAAGAAATACCTAGAAAAACCCAAGCCAGAAAGGGAATTAATTAATGGTCAATTCAATCATTAGAGCAGAAACTTTCTACATAAAACCTCATCCCTTAGTATCTGAGATATATATATATATTTAACAAGCATTGGCAACATGCTTTCAAATCCTTCTTTGCAACCATCAGAGCTAAAAACTTGTAATTAAAGAATTACATTTACATGCTGAAGATAGAGTTTTCACTTTGCAGAATTCCATATACCTTGCCCTTTTTTAATGCCTAAAGCCCTGGTTAAAAAGAGGACTTGGGACATGAGAATCATTGAGGACTTCTTAAGCAGTAGTACAATTGTGCAGAAGTAGTAATGAAAACATATTGGGAGAAAAATGTGAATTAGATATTCTCATGGGTTTGCATCATCAACCCTATAAAAATGGTGTAGTTTATCTCTGATTTATCTCAGATAAACTCAGCCTAGCTCCACTATACTCAACTTTCCCAGCTTTCTCTACTTGCACATGAGTCCCCAGCGTGGCTTGGATAAGGGTGAAGCTTTGCAGGGCAGTTTACAAGGGACAAATAAGTAAGATACCTTCCAATCCAAACTTGTAGAATTCGTCGGCCACATTCTTGACCACGTGTCGCTCATGGAGATTTCTCTGGTGCTGCAGGCGGCAGATCAGATCACTGACCACCTCGTTCAGGGTGCCAGTGTAAGATTCCACCTCCTTGGGCTTCAGCATGTGTTTTCCTAGGATGCTGCGGATCTGCTGCCATTCTTCGCCTTCCCTGTGTGGTAGAAAAGAGCCTCTGTTAGTTTTCTGGGCAGGAGGAAATCCCAAAGCTGTGCAGAGGCAGAACTAGAAACAAGCAAGAACATTTTTCCATCTCCAAAGAGAGGTAATGATCAGCTGGGAGGAGCGATGCCTTCACCCTTGTAAAAGGACAGAGCCCTCCAAAGAGGTTGAGTGCAACCACAGGCAATCTATCTCTTGGTTACATTTCCTTTTCTTGTTACTCATATCCTGCAGCGGTCCAGGCTGTGGAAGCAACAGGCCCAGCGGATGGGAGAACCCCTACCGAGGGAACCTGAGTCATCCATGGTTTAGTGAGGGCCTCAGAATGATTTCTCACTTACCAGCTTGTATGTTTGTGCAAGTCCCAGCAGGATTCTGCTGTTCTCACAGAACATATTTCCAGCAAACGTGAGGGTCTCCTCCACTCTTCTCTTCCACAGACCAACTCTAGTGAGTGGTCCTCCGAAGGAAGAAACACAAAACGAAGCCGATGCTTCACAGAGGACGTGCTGAGACAACTCGAGGTAGGAAGGGCCAGTCATTATGGTTCAAAATGGTCTCCATTCATGCACTCGTACTAGTGCAGAAAGCTTGGCCTGATGTTTTAAGGGTTTTAGCTTCCTTTCCAGAGCCTCCAAGGAAAAGCCTCAGGGCAACATGCCAGAAGAAAGGGGGTGACTGATTTCAGCTCAGCATTTGGAGTGGGCAAGCTCTGACTGAAATTCAGTGCCCAACAGCTTCAGCCAGTATGGCCAAATAGCAAGAGATGTTGAGTACTGTAGCTCTGGAGGATCCATGGGTGAAATCCTTCATGTAGGACTATCAGACATCTCTGCTGTAAAGTTTCCATGGCTGCCTTATGCTGCTGATTTTGCGTGAGAAATCGAGGGCAGGAAACATCTCTTCCTGTGACATGAAAGCATAACTTTAGACATCGGAGAATGTAGTCAATTGCATAATTTACCACTACCACCCACACATACTCATAAAATGCATATGTAGGTGGTAGTGATAAATAATGCAATTGCCTACAGTCTCCGGTGCCTTAAGTTATGTTTTCATGTCACAGGAAGAGATGACACTGTTGATCTTCACATTGTTCTGGAACAGGATTGGTTCAGGATATTATGTTGCCTCATGTGAAAAGCAAGATGGCAATCCTCCCCATTCCCCATGCAAAACTCAAGTGAACTGGCAGTCAAATATTATTTGGGCACTGGCGGAAGGACAGCACGCATCACTGGAACTGAGGGCAGCAGACTAGCTGACATGGGTCAGGCAAGTACACACACCTCTGTCCTCCAACTCCTCGCTGCTGCTCGCTGTGTCCCCCACCCCACCCACACTGGCTGCCTGAAGCAGCCTCTTCACTTTACCTAATGGTGGGGCCTGCCCTGCCTCAGTCCTTCTAAACTCGTCCTGCCCCCTCAACTCACCAACTTCAGAGAAGCATTGGGGTCTCCACCTGGAAGAAATGAAGTTCCTCCCCCTTCAGCCAGGGCTTATAAGTGCATGAATTAAATTTTTCACTGTGTTCAACTGGGCTCTGATTCTAAGCACAGTTCTGATGCTCAGCTGTCTCGAGAACAGAATTTTCCTATTTAAGCCAATGGAGGAATGGCCGCCGGCTTTCAGAATCGCCCCCTAACCGGCCATCGGAGCCACACCTTCCTATGAATAAAACCTCCTTGAAAGTCTCCGGGAAGCCACTAGAGGGACCGACTCCGCAGCGAATCCGCGCACGAGAGCCGGGCAGTGATTCGCGGGGTGGGAAATACAAGCATTTTATAACCTCCGCGAGGACAGCCTTCCCGGGAACTTTCGTGCGATGGGAGCCCCGGTCAGCCTGCCTGGAGAACAAAAGGCAGCGAATACTTACGCCGTAAGCAGCCCGTACGCGTGGCCTCGGCACACCCGGTAATCCTTCCAGGAGGAGAGGTCGGAGCGAATGGGGTGCTTGCCTTCCTGCCTTAGCACCTGCTCGATCAGACTGGGATCTGCAACGTGGACTGTGAGGATGGGCCCGAAACTCGCCTTCCACACGGGGCCGTATTTCGTTTTGCCTTCAATCTAGGAGAAAAGCGGGAGAGAAGTTGGTGAGCGATCCCCTAGTGGTCCAGTGGGTTTCCCACTCAGGAAAGAAGGGCGGCATTCCTTGTCAGGAAACACCACCCGCTCCCCTAATCTCCTTGGCTGGATTAAACCCAATTCCGCATAGTTCTGGAAGGGATTGCTAAAGAAAGCTGGTCCTCTCTCACCCAACCCGCTCCGTGCACAAATGTACTGAGCCCCTGGAAGTTCACAGGTCAAGTTTCCCAAAAGTTGCCTTTCCTCGCTGAGGGGAAAATGATTGCAGATTTCTTTCTCCTTTATTGTACTGGTAACCCTCACGTCAGAGAGGAGAAGCATCCGCTGTGCTTAGCGAACCCCCAAAGACATTGGCGCCTCATAGAGCCTCTGGAATATAGGTGAAAAAGGATTTACTTCCCAAAGATGCCCTAAGAAATTGCCAGCACAAGAACAGCGGCTTATTGGACAAGAAAGGGCAATTTCAGTCCCGAAGGTTACATGACAGAACTACGTAGACAGCATTTTGTTACTGCAATCAATAGGATGGAAAAATATGTTTAGCCTGCTTTGGATTGGATTGAGTCTCTGTGATGTAGACTATTAGGAGTGGGACAAAAGGATAGCCATCAAGAGGCATCTCCCTGAAATCTTCGCTCAGCGCCTCTCTTCACATCCACATTCTTTGGGGGCTCTATAACAGGAGTTTTAGGCTCCAAGTGCAATCCTCCTAAGCACTGCTACTTCAGAGCAAGTTCCCACGAACTGAGTGCCTTCTCTTCTATGTAAACACACATTTTATTTTATGCCTGCAAGTCACTGTTGACTCTTGGAGACTGCCTGGACTAGTCCCTGCAGTTTTCTTGGCAAGGTTTTTCGAAAGTGGTCAGTCCTTGCCTCCTTCCCGGGGCTGAGAGAGAGGGACTGTCCCAAGGTCCCCCAGCTGGCTTTGTGCCTCAGGCAGGACTAGAACTCACAACCTCCCAGTTTCTAGCCTGGTGCCTTCACCACTACAGCTGACTCTCTAAATCTGTAGAGGATTGTGCTTTTCATTCATTTGGTTAGAGCATTTTGCAGACTCTGGGTGGTTTTCATTATTAAGTCTCATTTTCTGTTAAGCTGCTGCTCCCTGTGGTTATATATATATATATTTGATAAAGTAGAAAAGTGAAAGAAATCTAAGCAAACTCAAAATTGAGCTCTTAAGACAAGCATCTGCATTTTTCAAAGGTTTAGTTGCTGTCCCTGTTTAGGACATACAGTAGTATAACAAGCAATAATGTAATCACAAAAAGGGATCACGACAATGAATATATACAATTGTCCTTAAAGGAGACACAGATAGGATGTGTGTGTGTGTGTGTGTATTCAATATCAAATTATGAACAGTTCCTACACCATCCAAAAACATTAGGAGTTCATAAATCAAACAGCCTCACCCCCCGGCCAAAGCTATGTAAGGGTCTCTTTACCTTTATGAAAATAATTGACATTAGATGATCAGTATAGCATTCAGCAACTCAACCCTGATATGATATTCCAAACTTGTCTCTTTGGAAGACTTCACCCCTCAATTTCTTTTCGGAGATAAGAGCATGGAATGAATCAGGACACAGATATGACAGTTGCCAGCAAGGATATTTTACAAGACGAGTGCTGAATATTTTTCTCTGCCTATCTAATGATGTATTGCCAACCCTGCAAAGCTATTTTGACAATATAGTGTGGTAGCTCACTCTACTATGTTTCAGCAATGTAGTCCCTGAGTATCAGATGCCTATATAATAGGAGCATTGCAAATTTAAATAAGGGCAATTGAAAAAGTTTCATGTCCACTGTGCTAAAGCTGGAGGAAACACAAAGATTTTTGTATGGCAAAGAGATTTTGGAAGTAAAATAAAACATTGTCTCTTTTAGAGCATGCAGAAGAGATCATTTCCACAATTATGGTAAAACAAAATCTTATGGAGACAAGTACTGACCATACTCATGTATGTCCGTTAAAACAAGAATGGGCTAGAAAGCTCCCATCAGTACACATCTCACAGAAGTATGAGTTTTAAAAAAACTGTGTTACGTGTCCCATGCCCACGCAGGTACAATTTCATGCTGTGGATGAGCACAAGGTAAAGATGGCTTTGCTCAGCTCAGTGGCTTAGATTTTGCCAACCAGAGCTACTGTCTGTATAACAGAGCACACCGTGGACAGACGAGCCAAGAAAGAACATGCTTAGCTGACATTATTGAAATAGAGATCTGGATGGAGACAAGGATGGAGACAAGAAGTGCACATTGCAAGATTTCTATGCACACAAGCAAGGATCCTCACACCTCATCTTCTGCACCTTGCAGGATACCTACTCCAGTTTCATAAATATGGCGTCATAAACCAGGGGTTACGCTATGACATGGCTCAGGGACATCTTAATGTCTGTCTTGCTGAGCTGTCACTGAATTTGTCATGAAATTTCTGTGATTCATCTTCCATTGATTTCTGTGAAGCAACAGAGATTTTAAGCAAAGTTTTGGAGAATTGCTCAGTACTCCTGCCGTGTCCTTAACTTGGGGTTCATTTTCACTCTGCTTTAAGGATGCCAGGTACCAATCCCTTCACCACATTCATACAAGGAGATAAGTTATTTGGATAGTTGGAAAGCTGGGCAGAAGCTTGGAAAAGAAAAAATCAAGGCACCATCCATGAAGTAAAAAGCAAGAATGAAGGACTCAAAGGACAATTTGAGAAACCATTGATCAAGAGCCACAGGTTCAGAAGAAGTTTGCTCATCTAATGGGTGTTGCCGTTTCTTCTTTTCTGGTGCACCCTTTTCAAGGCTTCCTCCTTTGACAGAGTAAGAGACTCTTGGGGATAGCCCTGACTAAGCAACTGGGGAGCAGAATTCAGAGCAAGCAAACTGTGGGTAACCTGTGCTTCCCAAAGATGCTGTGTGCCTGCTGTCCACTGTCCTCTTCCTAAAAAAAAAGGAAGGAACTGCAGTCCAGGAAAAGTGCTCTTAGATGAGGCTTTGATGATGCAACAACCTTGCCTCATTCACAGATATTTTTTTACAGGAGAGTCAGACCTTGTCTCCCATCTGTAACCCTCCTGAGTTTCTTTAAGAAACAAAACCTTTTCTTATGCACCCAGACATACACACACCTTGCAAAGGAAAACCTAGAATAGCTGCACCGCATTTTTGGATTGGGAATCCCAGAAAACCTTTGCTTAGAAGTACCTAGGATCGATAGAAAAGTGGGAAAATGTCCATAGGATCATTTTTAGACTAGGGTTGTTTTTTTTTACTTTAGACTAGCTTTACAGAAGCCCTCCCAAGAAAACGGGTTTTCAGATTCAAAAGACTGCATAATTCTTTGGGGCCCCCTCCCCAAAGCCTTAAGTGGGGGGAAAGCTCACTAGTTTGCACCTGGAGACCAGATACTTGCAATCCGAATTTCAGCCAGTGCATAATAGATTTGTTCAAGAAAGCACCGAGAGTGCGAAAAAATCTCGATTGTCGCGGTCTCTTCAATGTCAGATACTAAAAGCGGGGTGGGCTGGGGGTGCAGGGGCGATATTGTCCCCCCAAATCCAGACGATTCTTACCTGGAGTTCATGCAGTCGCGACAGCCCTCTTTTGCAGAAGAGGTCGGTGAGGAAGCCGAGGGCGCTGGGTCCCGGCATCTCCTCCAGAGTCTTGTGGGCTTTGAGGACCCGCGATCGCGCGCCGAAGACCGACTCCACCCACAGCTCAGGAAAGAGCTTCGCGAGCAAGGATGCCTTCGAGGCCAGCTTGAGCGTCTGAGACATCTTCGCGCGGGGCAGCGGGCAGCGGCGGAGAGCGCGAGCGAGCTGTGTCGCGCCAGCATCTTGGACCACCTGTATTTATCTCAGCGGAGCGCGCAGCCCGGCAGCGGGTCGGCCGACGGCTGGGGAGCAGTGCCCGCCCACCGCGATGTGTCACCCGCCCGAGCTGTCCAATCAGAGCGTGGGCGCTGGAGGCATCGGGGCTTCCACCGTCTCGTGAGCGTTTGTAAGCAGCCGGATTTGCTCCGTCCAGCACGAACCGGGGAGACTTCGCTCGCAGCCGTTCGCCGGTTCCTTTCCTTTCCTTTCCTTTCCTTTCCTTTCCTTTCCTTTCCTTTCCTTTCCTTTCC